CTTCCTGTGTGATTTTCGAACAGAAAAACGGCATCTGTACACACTGTAGAGAGAGCACAACGAACAAATTAGTAGGCAGCAATTATTTTGGAATACGAATAGTTTACGACGCACACAAAATAATCGGAACTAATATTTACTATGTAATGTCGTAGTGTAAAAACGATTGTGATATAGATGGTGTTTATCAATATTGTATCATGGAGAAGACTGGATAATAGCTGCTGACTTTAGCAAAACTATTATTTTTATTATTTCATTATTTAGTGGTGTTGATACGAGACTGACATATAATTTAATTTTTTTTATCCTCTATAAATGTTTATATTTCAATTTTAATTTACTTGTTTATGAACCATTTTTGGTGTCAACTTGATTCGCATGAAAAAAAATTGATGGCGTCTCACACAGGTAAAAGAACGTGGTTTCCACATAAACTAAAAGAAAGAATGTAATTAAATGCGAGTTTCACATAAATTTTCTTATCGATTTATCACGAGTAACAATTTAGTATAAAATCAGTACCTACTGAATAATCGATGTACTTATAATTTTTTTTTTTTGCCGTTAGTTTTATTCAAATTCTATAAACACTATGTTTTGACTATTATAATACAATTTACGTATATTATATTTTTATGTATACTCACTTATCTTATATAAGAAAAATGAATAAATGAATATTAATTTAAAAAAAAACAACACCATTTCGAGGATAAAAACGAAAACGCAGCATTATTTATTGGATTTAGTGTTAGAGGTTAGCAAATATAGAAGCTATATGGAAGTTCAAGTTATTGAGGAAATGAGTGTTTGAATAATAATTAGATACTACTATTAAGTATTGAATGCAGAGGTCAAGAACGTAAGTTTTCAGTATCCAAGGAGATTGACGCGTCGTAGACGTTTTACGCGAAAAAATTATTGACTGTAATGTTGGCGTGTATGCGATCCCTTTGGTAGAGGTAAAATGGTCATTATTGTGTAACCATTCAAGAACAGTAGACATTTGGGATGTTATTGTTTTCCTAGGCAAGAGGAAGTGATTAAGTCCCTGAATTAAGTATAATAATATATTCAAATAGAAGTAGGTAGTACAATTTTTTTCTGTCATTATTTTAACATTTAAACTTCCACTCAAATGAGGAAGTCAATATACATACGCTCTACTTCGCTTTTTATTGCTTCAATTATTGTTCACGCATTATTTACAAACTTTAGCTTAGTTTTTGCAATAATTCACTTGCAACTATATCGTAGATTTTTCCTTTACAGAACTGGTTGAAATGAAATGATTGATAGTATCACAGTGGGTGCATTTCGGTGAAATCACACACACCGAATATATATTATATAAAAAAGTACACATACAGATCAAAACATTTCTACTTATTTTTACAGAATTAACACGGGGGAAAAAATATCATCAAATGGACGTTTGTGTGATAGAGCTATGCAATGGAACGTTTTGGAAGCTTTCATCACCTATGATTTTATGGTTGTGTCGAGATTCTCAAGAAGACGAGAGAACGAATAACTTTGTCTTCATTGAAGCTCCTCCCTTCCCCCTATACATAGTTGACGTGGATAAGTAAATAATCGAGTAGTTTTTTAATTGAAACTTTATTTAGTCTGTCATAGAAAAAAATTATACAGCGAACATGGTGGGAATTTGATATATATATATATATATGTGTGTGTACGTGTTTGTGTGTGTCCGTCCGTCCACGTAAGCTCTGCAGGCGTAGCTGCTTTGTTTGTCTAAATGTGTACCTTTCAAACATCGTATTCACTTTTGGTGCGAAGTAATAATATCTGTAGTTCGTTCGTTGTGTGTTGAAATCCAGATATTTTCATTGGCACCTTTCCATATTCGAGCAATGGGATTATGAGGAAAACACGTCTTACTGCGCTGTTCTAGTATGGTTTGCGTTTGAACGTCATCAATTATATTTTTCAACAAAATATAATAGTCTTTTGGTTATTTTTCCTTTTTCCCGATTGTCCAGCTCAAAATAAAATAAAAGATAATTTCTATCTGGAGTTGCCACTGAAATATTAATTTTTCACCGATACCACCCTGTGCAGATGATTGAATATTATTTTCGTTTTACAACTGGTTTATAATATGCTGCGTGGCTAAAGTTTTAAACACTCATTGCGTAGTAATACCTTCTCAGTTGGTTAATATTGTGTTTGTTTTTTTATGGTACATTTCATTTGGAGTAGGTTTCAAGGATTATTGATCCAACAAGTTCAATAGACCGATATAAAATATTTTAAATGATGTTGTTTTATTTTGAAACAATAAACGTATTTATTAATAAACATTTTTGAAATTTTCTGAACCAAACAATTTTATGTTCGATATAAGACAATTGGCTGTGACATGAAGTATAATTTTTAAATTTTATAATAAATGTAAAATCAAATACTGAATCATAAATAAAACGGTGAAAAATATACTATACGTTCAATCTATATTAATACCCTTACTCTGCATGTTTAATGGCTGAAGCAATTTTCAAACTGATTATCCAATTATAAATTAACGAAAATCTGTTATTAACCCTTTAACCTATGTATTTTAGTTTGTATTATACGAGTAATCCCATTAATTTTACAGTGCATGTTTCGTAGAACTCGGTCCCTGGATGGTCCAACATAAAAATAAATCACACTTATATTCTTAAAACGAAATATTAACCTGAAATATTAAATCAAATTTAAAATATATAACCTTGACGACATTAATATTAAATTTGAATTAAATGCCGCTAAAAACTATAGTATTTAATGTCGGATTGCTACAATGCCAACACAAACGGCAGTTTTGTGCGTACCTGTCTATATAATGTAAATCTGCAAAAAGAGTAAACACAAATAATTATTGTTTGATTATTCATTATATATATTTTCGCGGATCAGCGAGACTTAAAGCGGAACAACAGTTTTAAACTATTTTTTTTCAACCACAATAATATATCTGTTGTCAATACGCGTTATTGATTTTTGATAGGATCGGAATACCATACCTTTTATAACGTCACTGTACGAAAAGAGAACAACGAATTATTTCCACGAGCGTTTTTATCTCCTGGAATGCAGTGGAGACGAAAATATTTTTACGAATAACAACAATAGGTATACTTATTATGACGTTTAGGTTCGATTTCAAACGCCACCGCACGTGCGACCACGCAGAATAATGATTCAATAAAAATAATACAGTTAAAACCTTTATTACTGTGTAAATACCGTCGTGTAGTGTGCGAAACGAACGCTGTTCGACGAACGATCGTATAATAATAATAATATGCGAACGGGTTTTCGGGCGGCAGTAAATATGGTACTCCCGACCGTGAGAATCATTGTCGGGGCGCGTATTATTTACGTTGGCCGATATAATTCGCCGTCATACTACACTCAGTGGTCGGCACCAGGGAGAGGAGAATAATTATTTATTTTTTATTTTTAAAACGGTTCAGCGCACCTCATCTAATTTTCGTAAACGGAAGACACGTTCAGGGTGTCGGAGGAACGTTTATTTTTATGGGGAACATGAACGGTGCTAGAATTCGAAAAACAGAAACAGGAGAAATCAGTTTTAATCTGTTCGACATTTATCCGTTTCAATATTCGGACATCGCGTACCGTTCACACGTCTCTCCGTCATCAAATGTCGCGGTAGAAAGGGGTCGAACTACGGTTTTCGAAAAGATAATCGACCTTTCTCTTACCCCCGACCGGAACGCCTAATTTAGGGTTACCAGATTTAGTTTTTTCGAACCCGGGACTTTTTGAATAGATAAATATTAAATATATATAATATTATAAATATATATATATTTTAATGAATTATGTATAGAAGCAATATAATGATAATAATAATCATAATAATTCATATTCTGTCTTCTGATCTTTTGGGGTCCAGAGTTTCTTCTGTTGATTTTACTACATATTTGACTGATCCATGAACTTGTTTTAATAAAGACTCGTTTCCCAAACTTTGGTCGTAGAATTCTTCATAAGATGTATTATTGCATGTTATTATTTGAAACACATTCTTATAATATACCGTTTTTATATCTAGTTATTATCTTGTATTTGCCCATGTGCTGTTCATCAGTACATTTGAATCCGACAAAACAAAAATAAATTCAACAACTTTTAACAGCTCAGAAAATGCATGATTTTTATCAGTGAATATTTTGAAAATATATATCCATTTATTTTTTATTTTTTGAAATTGCCACTCGTCATTTTGTTGATTAATTTTTTCAAACATTTTGAATTGTTCGAAAAACATTTATTCATCAAAATTAAGATTGTTTGACATTATAGCTTTTATAAAGATTACTGATTTTTTGACATTTTCCCAATTCACTATTATCTTTGGGGCTAATGTTATTCATAACATTGATTTTAAATTAATTACATGTTGATTTGAATTGTTCCATTTTTTTAAATAGTTGTAACAAAGTAAATCAAATTCATCAAATCAACTTTCAAAATTAGTTTTATTGATAATTCCTCGTCCTCAAGTTTTGTTACGAGATTTTCAGTTTCTACCGTGAAAAACCGATCCTTTCTTTTGTTTTGAATTTTCTTGATATTTTCTTGAGTAAAATTTTGAAACCGGGACAAATCGCTGTCCCGAAACACTTTCTCGAGACACCGGGACACTCGGTTAAAAACCGGTAGTGTCCCGGTAAAACCGGGACGTATGGCAACCCTAGCCTAATCGCACACGTAAACACGTCCGCTACGGTCCTCTCAGCCCGGGGGCGCACGGTCAACACTAGCGAAACGGGTTGTTGTCGTCCCTAATTTATTACGATTCGACGACGTACCGACGGATTAGCGGCAAATCTTCTCGCAGCGGCCCGACGCCGAACGTTACGGTAACGGGGGGTCGGGGTGGGGTGGGGCAACGGAAATCGCCCGCGCGCGCGTTGCTCGGCCGCCGGGACTGGTTTCCCACCTCGTGCGACTGCCTAGTCTCGCCGGCCGCTCGCGTTAGTCGTGTTCGCTGTGCGATCGTGTGCGCGCCGTCCGCCGAAGTTTATCCGTTGTCGGACTGTTGTCGACATCCGTTCGCGTTTCGCGACGATTTTTGCGCGCGCGCGTTTTTTTTTTTTTTATTTTTCCGTCCACCGAACCCGTCGCCGAGTGTTTTCCCTCGACTATCGCGAAACATGTGAACTCTGCGCGACGACTCAGCACCTCCAGGACGCACCACGTATCGGACGCGGCCACCGCGCGCACGTGTTGGAAATGCGCGCCTGAACGGCTTCTAAAAAACATTACGGAAACGGTGAGTGCCACGAAACCAACCCTTTATTGTCGTACGTTCTTCGATTTCATTTCAATACCGTGACGATTTAACGGTCGCTATGTCGGCCCACGTGTTCTGTTCCGTCATTTTTATTTTTCCTCCCCCCCCCCGATTGAAAATTACATTAGGTCGACCCCGCGCTAGTTTGATGTGTCGATTAGGATCTGTAAGGTTTTCGCCAAGTACAAGTTGTACCGTTGAATCGTCCAAGTTGCGCGAAAACATTACGATCTGCCGACGCCGCAAAACGTATATTTTATCCGCCTTGAATGAAATACTCGAACAGTGTAATGTTCAGCTCAATATCACAGTGCGCCCCTATGTCGATCGTGTTTTTCAAATCAGACGTTTCGAAAGTAGGTACTCATTACGAGTAATTTTTGCTTATTAGTTGGATGTAGAATCTAATGTTCAACAATTATTCAATTGAAATACTTAAAGAGTTGACAAACTAATAAATTGATTTCGTTCATATTTATTAATATTATTTTAACTTTCGTGAATTTAACTTGGAGCTTATGAGGGTTGTAAAAAATGTAAAGTTCTATTTGACATTGTGGTCTAAATAATATAAAGCAAACTAGATGAAGTTTCGTAATGCAGAGTTCTTATGATCCTGGTTGGTAATTAAGTTTTTCAAAAACTTCGTATGGAAAATATAATATTTATTTATTTTTCAAATTTTAAATATTAACTAAATTAGTTGTAATGACTAATTAAATGAATTCCAAAATATTTTAAATAAAAATACAGTAAAAAAATACGAAGAAGTAGAAAAAAATTCTTAACAAGTTTAATTTTATAAGTCATATGCTCCATAGGAATAAAAGTTTCTTAGAAGTTATTTTAAAACTTGAACACTATACATTAATAGTAATTGTACATTTTTAGTGATTTTTTTTTGTAAATTTTAACCATAAAGAATGTCATACATGATTGAGTAAAATAACGAACTATTTTAATTATTAACAAAAACTGAAAATTGAACAGTTTTCTTAACTGTCATCGACAATTATTTTTAGCAGTAGCTGCAAGTGTAAGAAATTCAATATTTATTCTTGACAGACTTAGACTATAGAACGTTATAGCATTGGCATACAACTTGGACTTAAACATAGATGCAATTATTTTAAAAATATAAATACTTATACGAATTATAAAAGCACTGTAAACGTTTTTTACAGTTTTATAAAGACATTTTAAACTAATATTACAGGAGAGTAAAAAACGATAGAAAAATTATCGCAAAACGGTTTTGAACAAAGTGGTGTTTAAAAATGAATATTTTTTTTTTACTAATATTCAAAATAATACTACGAACACAATGGATATCATATTCTAAATATAAATATTTAATTGTTTGAAATAATTTTAATGTTTTTACTCGCATATTTTTATAAACATTTAACATTTAAAAAATAGTATACAAACGATTCAGTAGAGTTTAGTTCAGAATTTCAATGTGATAATTCTAGTTTACAAATTTAGTATAACTTGTTCTTGTATAATATACGAGTAATAAACTCGCCGTTATTGTTTTTGTATTCCGCTTGAAACACTGACCTATTCAATGTGACATCCACTCTCTTATGGTTTTTTTTCTTTATAGTGATAATATTTCAATGTTTCACCTCCTACTCATTCAGCTATGCTCCATACACGATCCGGTCCCCCTAATAGTGTCTTCTGTTTTTCTTTTGTCGTCTGTCATGTCTCCCATGTCATCATATTTCATATTCCGAAACAAAATAAATCACCCTCGTTAAATCGTGGCTTGAACATATTTTGTACCACAAGCTTTTATCAAGAAAATAATTTGGGGATGAATATCAAACAAATTAATACGTGAAAGTGTACACCGACGGTCTTGAATTTAAAATTATAACTGTATTCTTATTTACATAAAAGTAAAATCTATCTTTAAGAGACGAACACATTTTATACTTCTAAATTCGTTATAATATAAAAACGAATACTAAAATTCTTATGTTTCAACTGTAAACAATTAATAGCATAAAGATAAAATATTATTTTTTTTTTTAACGTCGACATGTTTATTTCAATATAAATACGGTAAAAAACGATTTAATCTAAACTTGATGTATTACTTGAGGGTTTTTTTATACTTGAACATTTTTCTTCAGGTCACTAAACTGTAAATAATATATCGTACACGTATGTACTAAACGCGCGGCACTATGACTAAACATTATCAAATATTGAAATATGTGAGATACAACCAATATGAATGTATAAGGGAATATGCGGGTTATTACGCATGAAGAATAATATTCACTTTTGATGCACCACGTTACAACAGTAACGTTACTTGCGAAATATTATTTATGGGTACAATATTTTATGAACTTTCTAACAGTGAACGCTTTTGAATCTGAAGAAAGGAATGTGTAGCGATGTATATTCTTCTTAGTTGTACATTACACATCCCGATAAACATTTTGTCGGTAAGGAATGCTTCGAAAACTGTTTACAACCCCTCCTGGACTCTATATATAGGTAAGAAATTCTAAACATGTAGCATTTATAATACATCGTGTTTTTTTTTTATCTTGGGAATTTCTAAAAAATAATGATTGACTATGGAATACAACCGTATAGGAATAAAGCAGTTGTGGCCGGAAAATCGGATTTCTTAAAAAATATTTACCTTATCGTATTACGTACAGCCAATTATTTGATTTTATAAAAAACTATATTACGTTAGCACGCAAGAAATTAAAATAATCATTTCGGTATTCTTGTCAATATAATTTTACCTATTATTACTATTACTATTATTATATTATATTATTATTACTATTATAACTATTACCAATTATTACTATATTGTTTATTATTGCTTAATATAATTTATTGTTTGAAATCATTTTTCATCGATAGTTACATTAAAGATATCAACATGTTACCGAAACTGCACACAGTAGCAGTATTAATAAGTAATAACGTATCCATACATTTCCGAGAACTAGTGGTTATCGACGACTATATAATACGATACGCGACCAAATGTAGAATAACCTTTTAAACTGGCTGAACAAGCGAGGTTAGGTACAACACAACATCGGTAATACGTAAACATACTACTGTGGCACACTTAAGTCACCTGTAATGTACAAGCTCTTTCATCTCGGACAACGGAATTCGTTATACAACCGTTTACTAATATTACTGTTAATACTATTATGACTTTTGTTGTCGTATTTCGACCTTTTCTGTACACCGAAAACCGTGCTCGGACTGCAAACGATTGTGTGTGCACCGCCATTCGCTATTTACGCTATTCCGAAGCGAACAGATTTTAAAATAACGATTTCCTTCCGTACAATAAGAACTTTGTTCGATTTCCTGTTGTCGCGGTGTTAGAAATAGGATTATACGTGCCGGGTATATAATTACTGAAGAATACAGAGCATAAACGCGCGCGGGGCACAATACACTTCGCGTTGGCCCGGTGTCGACACGTGCGGTCGTCTACGCGTGTGTGTGTGTGTGTTTATACATGTACGTGTGTTTACGTATATATAAACGAATGTGCTTGTACGTGCGCGCGCGCGTTGAATGGTGAGATGAAGAGAGATAGAAGATAAACGAAGGAAGAAATACACGTGCCTCCATCGTCTGTTGTGCATTGCGTTCGGTGGAGACGACGACATTGTCGGTGGCGAGCGGGAGTCAGCCGGCCGGCAGATGTGGAGAAAAGGGAACATGTATTACTATAATGTGTATATTGTAAAGAGAAAAAAGTCCCGCCAAAATGTGTACGCTCGTGTAACACTAGTAGTGGAGGCGATGGTAAGCGCGCTCCGAACGAACGAATTCTTCTTAATGACCGTTTCATTTTTCGAACCCGTTCGGCCGTGAAATTAAGTCGTCGTCTTTGAAAAAAAAATATATATTACTAATAAACGCCATAAAGATATTGCGGTGTACGTGGAATATTTTGTACACGTACACTAAACGAGTGTACAATAAACAGTTGGTACACAGAACGATTATGTCCTGTATGGTTATTGCATCGTCTATTCGTCCGCGTACGATAAAATGTGCCACCACAACAGATCAATCTTTTTATAATTATCAAATTACATTCTATCGTGTTTTCCTATCGGTTCTGTCCGTTTCGCTTTTCGTTGTGTAATTTATTACCTATCCAAGATGGTACGCGAATACTAAACGACCTAATACCAATATTAGGAAACGTAATCACCAATAACGCTCACTGCCTACCACCTCATTGTACAATAATGAATATCGATATTTCAATCAGATAAATTTCATTTTAGGTGTTCAATTGTTAAACGCTCCGAGACATGTTATAATTAAATTTAATAACCCGTTTTTATGTCTCGTAGGAAAGAGTTATATTGATATAGCCGGTACGCGCCTAACGCGTGAAATGTAAAAACACTTTTATTGATTAAAAAAAACAAAATAACCTTTAACTTGACGGTATTGTTAGAATGTTTTTTTTTTAAAAATTTTTATCGAAAGATTAGTCGAATATATACTTAAAGTATATATTATTATAATATATCTACCAGTTATTAAATTCAATATCACCTAAGAAAACTATAATTTATGCTAGCTGAATAAGTGGCGATTAAATGAACAATAACAACAAATAACAACGGAAGTAAACTAGAGGACCTGTAATATTTGTGTACTTGTTTATATTTTGGAATCCAGTCTAAACTAGGAAGTAATATTAAATAATACAATGGTTTTAATGAATTTGCGTACTATAAGTGACGTTTCCATGATTAATTTTTTGGAGACATATAGAAAGAACTACTTGATCGTTCCATAATTTGGGAATTTTAAAAAAATAACTCATAAAAATGTATTATTTTAAAGTTTAGCTAGTAAAAAATATGTAGACTTCTATACCATAACTACATTTTTTATCAGTTCGTTTATAGGATATTTATAATCAATGATTTTACATTTTAACGTCTTAA